TTTTTGTCACTGGACTTATGAATTTAATTTAATGTTTTTATTTTTTATTTTTATATTAATTTATTTATTTATATATAATTTATTATATATCTTTATTAGCAAAAAAATGATTTTTCAAGTTGAGTAATGCAATTGAATATGTGGGTTTGCGCTGGTTTTCATTGTTAAAAGTTTTTTTTGGTCTTTGTACCTGTGCACAGCAGCATCTCACGGGGATTTGTGTGTTAAATAGGAGAGTCCTGGGCGCTGAGGTTTTGTTTTCTTTACACTTTAGTCATGTGACTTCCTCAGGAGCTCTGGAGCCACCATTAGCTGACAAAGGAGATCACATGACTGGACAGGATTGGGCTGAAAATAGGTAAGTATATACTCTTCTTGTTTTGCACAGGTTAGTCAGTACAGATGTTAGGAGAGGAAGGGAAGATTTTTATGACTAATTAGGTTTTAGGCTTGAATTTATTTCAGGTACTAATATAGCGCCATCAATTTACACAGTGCTTTACATATATATTGTACATTCTCATCAGTCCCTAACCCTCAAGGGATGTACAATCTAAGGTCCCTAACTCACATTCATACATACTAGGGACAATTTAGACATGATCCAATTAACCTATCTGCATGTCTTTAGAGTGTGGGAAGAAACCGGAGTACCCAGAGGAAACCTATGCAGGCATAAGGAGAACATGCAAACTCCAGGCAGGTGGTGGCGTGGTTGAGATTCAAACCAAGTACTGCCAGGTGGAAGTGCTAACCACTAAGCCACTGTGAATTCTGCTTTAAAAGTGCCTGTGCAAAAATGATGTTGATTACTGATGATAAAAATGTCAATGGGAGGTTTACTGCTACTGAGATTGTACTTGTGTCCTGTCAACCAAATGCTGAGTTGAATGTGGTACCGGAAGGGAGACTGGGTGAAGATGGAAGCTCTGTCAGCAGTGACCGCGCTCCACTGGAGGGCTTCGTTTTAAGGTAAGTCCTTCATAATGTGCTAGTATGTGATGAATACTAGCACATCATGACATTTCCTTGCAGGGGATTTATTTATTTATTTTTAGGTGTTTACTACCGCTGTAAGGGGTTTGGTGTCCAGAGCCAGAGGTTACCCAGGACAACTGTGGAGCCACCCAAGTTGATGAAAGTGTATCCTTCATCTAGTAAGAACAATATGTTAATGTGGGTTGCAAAAATGTAAAATGAAATAGATGAAAATGTTCATGTGTTTAATGAAGGGCCTCAAGATCACAGTGCTAGGATTGTCGTAATGCAACCGGCTGTGTTTAAAATGTGTTATCGTAATTTAGTATGGTTTGTATGAAATCTGCAATGTGTCTGCTGCTCAGCCACTCTGCTCTTATGTGTCTGATTGGACAAATGGATTGCTGCTGAAAAGTACTTTTTATTGGAGCACAGATAAAACTGAGTGGAACAGTTTGACCAAACGTTTATTACCAAAATGGAAAGGGGTCTCTGTGTGTAACAGTGGATTGGACATTATTTTCTTCTGTGGCAGATGGAAGGACTGCAGACCAGCTTATAGTCAAAGGTGTGTTTTCTGCTGTAGAATAAACCCAAAATGGAAGGGCCAAGCAAGGGAAAGCACGTAGCAGAAATCTTGCACACTACCCACTAAAAATTTAACAATGATGTGATGCCAAATACGATGTTGGTTGATGTGCCAGACAGCACACGTGTACTTGAAGAGATCAAGGTTACCTACCCAAATGTTGACTTATGTAATGAAGGACAGGTCAGTTGCTGGCAGAGTGTCATTTGTCAGTGGAGTTTGTTTATACAGAGGTTACAATCGCTTTGCTTTGTATGGTTCCTCCGCAGACATTGCCCTGTCAAACACTGAAAAAAGGAGTTCTGACAATGATAAAAAGTGCAATGCATTGATGATTTTTAATATTTTGGTTGCCATGGGTGACAATGAAAATAATGGTAGACCAGATGGTCAATTTGACATGGTTGCTGATAATCCTAAAAAATGTAATGAGATAAAAATAAATACTAACATTTATAGATAAAGTTGATCCAGGGAATATCCATTTGCCTCTCGAGGGATCAGGAAGGAATTTGTTTCCCTGCAGGAGCAAATTGGATCATGCTTTGCTGGTTTTTTTGCCTTCCTGTGGATCAACTGTGGGTGTGTAGGATTATAACTTTTTTTTTTTTTTTTTAATGGTTGAACTGGATGGACGTTTGTCTTTTTTCAGCCAGACTAACTATGTAACTATGGTTGTTATTTGCCTGCCTGTACCATGTACTTGTACTTGTTTAAAAAAAGTAGACTGCTCTGTTGACAGTCCCTCTGATTTCCTATTAAAAACTGACCACTAGGCAGGAGAGCACAAGAGAGTGACCTCTTCAAAGTTAAAAAAAAAAAAAAAAAAACGTGAAAAGGGTTAATTTAGAGGAAACTAAAGGAGAGCTTTGTAAGTTTAATGGTACCAGATGCTTAAAGCCATATAGTAAACGTCTATATTGAATTTTGTCCTACAGGTAGGCTTATGAAAAATGTTACCTGTAGGTATGGTGAATATCTCCTAAACTTTCTCCATGCAGGAGATATTCACATCTGTTCCAGCAGATGATGTCACAATGCATGTAATATGATAAACAACTGGATACTAACTACTATGCCAATCAGTACACAAAAATTGTACCCAATTAATAATAACATTTTTTATAACCTGTATAACCTGTACCAATTAGGTAGCATATCTGTTAGAATGCCTGTGTTGCCTACAATATGTAGAAAGGTCCACACAAAACTGAGAAGCAGAATCGGCCAACACATGCATAGTATTGTTAAAGGTTTAATAAAAAAAAGACCTGCAATTCTTTTACCTTTCTTTGCACATCTTCCACTACTCCATAGGAATCTCCATGTGCATCTGCTGCTACATCTGCAGCCTGAAGCAATAGGGTTGCAATTCTAACAAGCGGCTTTAGAGATATAGCTTATGGCACATCAAACAGTAAAAAAGGTCAGCCTGGGTTCAGGTTTAATAGGGCATAGCGTAGACTTCATCCATGCTCAAAGTCATCCTCTCCTGTCCAGGGGTGGACTGACAACTCATGGGGCCCCGGGCAATAGGGGATCATGGGGCCCCTGTGTCCTTGCTGAAACTCAAAAAAGCCTATGAAAAAGGTGCCAGGGGCATCTCATGGGGTCCCCTACTGACCCGGGCCCTCGGGCAATGCCCGAGTTTCCAAATGGTCAGTCCACCCCTGCTCCTGTCATCCCCAGATTCACACTAGGCAGGAGAGCACAGGAGAGTGACCTCTTCAAAATTAAATAAAGGGAAAAGGGTTAATTTAGAGGAAACTAAAAGAGATCTTTGTAAGTTTAATTGTCCCAGATGCTTAATGGCATATAGTAAACTGCTATATTGAATTTTGTAAGCTTATGATAAGTATCACCTGTAGGTACTGTGGATATCTCCTAACCTTGCTCCATGCAGGAGATATTCACATCTGCTCCAGCCAATCATGTCACAATGCATGCTCAGTGCACTCTACATTCACTGAATGTGTCCTGAATGCAGAGAGTGTTGTGTCGTGATGGTGACTTGCATGCACATGTGCAGGAATGATGTCATCTCGGACCAGCCATTCAAATGGATGGAGAGCGCTAACCTGGAAGGACAACTGGGTGAAAACGGAAGTGCCGTCAGTGGTGATAGCTCAGCGCTGGAGGGCTCTGTTTCAAAGGTAAGTCTGACATAATGTACTAGTATGTGCTGGTTTTAATGTCACACACCATTTGCCTTCATGCTGGTTGTATCTTGTCTGTATAAGTGTTTGTTTCCAAAGGGTAGCTTTATGATTCCTCTAAAAGGCTGCTTTTGCTGAAATGTTGTGTTTATGTCTATAAAATAAGAAATGATGGTATTGAAACACTGATCTCATGTATATGGCCAGTTTTGCATGTTCTGGTTGTAATAATTACATACATATTTCAGGATAGGCAAGCAGTTTCACACCCCTCCTTCTAAAAAAAAATGCCCAGACCTCCAAAACTTTCATTATCAACAATGCCAGAGATTGGTAAGGCTTTATCATTTATGTTCATACTTTCTTTTTGTATTAAGTTCAGACATTTCTGCAATGCAAATTCTGATATTAACATTGAAGAAAAATATTGACTTCATCCCCCCCCCCCCCCCCCACCATAGTTATTGAGGCCACTCCCGGGGACAGACCAATTGACCTGGTCAGTCCTGCTGTGGGTGTGGTCTCTCTTCCCTCTATAAATATCAATCTGGAATCATGTGCAGTCCACAGGGAAACACCAGCTCCTCATTGCCTTTGTTAGGCAAGGCTTCAACATGACAACTATGTGTTCCCTTGCTGTGATTGCCACCAGTCTGTTGGTGGTTCAGTTCCTCTCATTCTCTACAGCTCGAGGTCAGTCTGGTATAGTACTGTGCATAAGTGTGTGTGTGTAAATTGTCTAGAAAAGTGTTTGATGGGAGGTTTGTGGCTTCATGGTCACTTTTGGTATTCGATCTGGATCTCTTCCTCTACAAAAAAAAACTGTAGTGGGTTTGGTTTCACTGGGAGTCCTCAGACTAGGGTCGGTTCCCAATCCTGTGGACCATATTTATTGTTTTCTCTCTGGAAACTCTGTTGATTTAGAGCTGCTGACTAAGCTCAGTTAGGCAGGTCAGTTTCTGTCTACTGTAAGCTCAGAGAGACATGCTGGCCTTTCTTTGAATGCCTGACCTAGAACAAGATATCGCTATCAGTAATGAATAATAGTTTGCTTATAAAATGTGATTGATATTACAGGACAGACTGATGGATATCAGGGGGTTGGGAGGTATGAGCTCCGGCCTTCTCTAACGGTATATCTAACCCTGATGAACCTTTTTTCTGTAGCTTTTATCAGTCTTTTTTATCACCCATTATTTCTTTTTCCATTTCTATTTCATATTTAGTTGTGATGCCTGGTACAATCTGTGCCTTCCCTAAAAAAGTCGGTCCATGTTATGCGGCTATGCCGCGCTATTACTATAATAAGGATACGGGCACTTGCGAGAAATTCACCTATGGTGGTTGTAAAGAGGAAATGCAAACAATTTTCTTACTATAGAAGCCTGCGAGTACACGTGTAATAGAGGTATTTATTCTGTGCATCATTTTATGTTGCTCAGTATTGATTCTTTAGTGGTGTATCCATCCTGGATTACCTTTTTTTTCTGTAAGGTTTCAACAGTCATGTTTAGTACCTGTTTATCTAATGTTCCATTGCTATTTTATAATCAGAAGTATTTTTTTTTCAGGTAATGTGTGTTACTGGCCTCCAGACGTCGGTCCAGGTACGGCGTCTATAGAGCGCTTTTACTATGATAAGCAGACCGGCACTTGCCAGACCTTCACCTATGGTGGTTGTTACGGAAATGCAAATAATTTTGAAACTAAGGAAGCCTGCGAGAAGAAGTGCCAAACAGGTATTTGTTCAATGCATCATTTTATGTGGCTCAATATTGATTCATTAGTGGTGTATCCATCGCTGATAACCTTTTTTTCTGTAAGGTTTCTACAATCATGTTTATCACCCATTATTTCATTTTCCATTGATATTTCATTTTCAGAAGTGGGGCCAGGTGGTGAAGTCTGTGCTTTGCATCCAGAAGTTGGTCCATGTCATGGGGCTTTCAAGCGCTATTACTATAATAGGTTTAAGGGCACATGCGAGATATTCACCTATGGTGGTTGTCAAGGAAATAAAAATAATTTTCTTACTATGGAAGCCTGCGAGAACACGTGTAATAGAGGTATTTGTTCTGTGTGTCATTTTATATTTCTCAATATTGATTCATTAGTAGTTTATCCATCCCCGATGATCTTTTTTTTTTCTGCAAGGTTTCAACAGCCATGTTTATCACCCATTATCTCATTTTCCATTGCTATTTCATATTCAGAAGTAATTTTTTTTTTCCAGAGAGTGTGTGTTACTGGCCTCCAGAAACTGGGCCATGTTTTGCGAATTTTCAGCACTTTTACTATAATAAGGAGACCGGCACTTGCCAGATCTTCACCTATGGTGGTTGTTTAGGAAATGCAAATAATTTTGAAACTAAGAAAGCCTGCAAGAAGAAGTGCCAAACAGGTATTTGTTCAATGCATCATTTTATGTGGCTCAATATTGATTTATTAGTGGTGTATCCATTGCTGATGACCTTTTTTTCTGTAAGGTTTCTACAATCATGTTTATCACTCATTATTTCATTTTCCATTGATATTTCATTTTCAGAAGTGGGGCCAGGTGGTGAAGTCTGTGCTTTGTCTCCAGAAGTTGGTCCATGTCATCGGGCTTTACAGCGCTATTACTATAATAGGTTTAAGGGCACATGCGAGCCGTTCATCTATGGTGGTTGTCAAGGAAATGAAAATAATTTTCTTACTGTGGAAGCCTGCGAGAACACGTGTAATAGAGGTATTTGTTCTGTGTGTCATTTTATATTGCTCAATATTAATTAATTAGTAGTGTATCCATCCCCGATCTTAGAAGCAACGAAATAAATGAGCGATATACCCTCCGCTGACCATCCTGCTTACACCATTTCCCATAGAGTGATCCTATATTGTTCCTGCCCCTCTGACCAAAAGGATCATAAAAAGTGGGAAATCTGGAAAAGCCTAAAACATTCCATGCGGGGGGAACGGGGAGTTACAAAGAGGAGAAGGTTGTCTGTGAACAAGGCACACCTATGCTCCTGCGACCCATAATGCAGCCCCTTTATGTCAGCATCGGTCCGGACAGCCAGCCAGGTCTCTATTGCGATGGCAAAAATCAAAGGGGAGGGGGGACACCCCTGTCTCGTACCCCGAACAATAGAAATCGGTCGAGAACAATGGCCTTGTAGCTGTACCTGAGCTTGCAGACAAATTTCAAGACCTGAAGTACCCCACAAAAAAGCAGGTGCAAAACCCCATTTGCCTAAGATTCTAAAACAAGTATGTCCAGGGGATCAGATTATCAGACGATCGCTCCGAAAGTGTTTTTTTTATCCAATTTTCTGATCGTGTATACTAGGCATTAATCAAACATGTTTTTTATTTTAAGAAAAAAAAACTAACACAGCCTTTATTACTCCTTTAATTATTTTTTTATAACTGATTTACATTTTGTTTTTTTCCCCTCTTTTTTACGATTAATTTATAAATTATGTTTTTCCTTTCTGACAGATGATGGACGCTCAATATGGCATCACCATTTGATGTCATTTTTCGACGACCAGCATATGTTCACTTAAGCAGAGAACGTTTGACGTTGCATTGTGTTGAATGTATTGTGTTTCTACCAAAATATTGCTTGAGGTGATTGGAGCTGTATTAGTGCATTTGCGACAGAAACAATTGAGTACTGTCCGTGATACTTTTTTTATTTGCACTAACATACAATTTTGAGGACAAGCTTTTGGGGAGTGTCCCCTTCGTCAAGGTCCAAGCAGTACTATCACGGACATTACTCAATTGTTTCTGTTTACCAAAATATTGTAATTTGTTGTTTTATTGTGTTTGATCTTCCTGGCTCTGTCATCCGTGATTCAACTATTAAAAAAACATTATTAACTCAGTTTTAATTTGTTTGTCTATTATACTTGTAAATGTATGTAAACCCCAACAATGAACTTCTCATATTTTGGTTCCTTTTGTTCTGTTAAATTCCCTGTGCTGTCCTCCTCTGCTGTACTGCTTTACAGTGGTATTAAACCCAAAAGCAAAAATTGTATTACATTGCAGCTTGCCAATCCTTAGGTGGGATGGCTGTATTAGTTTCTTTCTATTTTCATCTGGTGATCCAGACAGTAAGTCTGTTGGTTTTCAGAAGCTCAAGCTCTCCAGCAGAATGTATCCCTTTACATGGATAAGTAAAACCATTTAACACTGGCGGGGCTGAATAAAATAATCAACTTTTATTTTTTCTTGCAAAACATGTATCCCAAAAGGAAATAAAAATGTTTCTGTAACTGATTATAAAGTGTAAGCTGGAATTTGGCTTCTATTTGGTATTGTATTTAAATCTGTGGTGTATTTAACACTCCCCTCTCCCAGACTGACAATGCTGCTGTCTGTTGTGCCTCCTGTGCTCATTCCTCCAGAATTGTGTCTCACTAACATAGGAGGTGTGTTACTGACCAGGTGAAAGCAGAGGGGAAAAAGCCAAAGAAAAGAGAACTGATGCAGCCGACACATCGAAGGAATGCTAAGCTGTACTATAACACACTAAGGTTTTAGGTTTAATACTGCTTTAAGTTACATTGTTCCTAACTATCTCTATGAACTACAGGACACCTCCCCTATGTTTTGGAGAGGAGGTGTTCTGTAGTCCCAACACACTATGCCAGGGTGTCAACACTGCTTCTCCATAGATATAATGTACTCAGTGAGTGCTGTGACCCTAAGACTAGAAGGAACTGTTCCATGCAGCCTTACCAGGGGAAAAAATAGAAATTACTACATCTAAAGGACTGGTTTGAGATTTCTATTAATGAGTGTATTAAACTACATATTATCCTGTTGATAATTATCACCCAGGGGTGCGCTGCCCAAGGGCCCGGGGTCAGTAGGGGGCCCCATGAGATGCCCCTGGTACATTTTTCATAGGCTTTTTTGAGTTTGGGCAAGGACACAGGGGCCCCATGATCCCCTATTACCTGGGGGGCCCCATGAGTTGTCAGTCCGCCCCTGTTATCACCTGTTATAATTGCTGAACCCTGCATTTCACCAAAAGGCTATCAAATCCTTCAGAACCCTTTCGCACTATTGTGCTGCAGAAACACAATGCACTGCAATGCACTTTACATGCATTAGTCTGATGCCATTCATTCGTAATAGCGCCTTGTCAATGCACTTGCTTTGCAGCATGGAGCATGAATTTTAATACATTGGTCTGCACAATCAAATGAATGGGCAGACTAACAATGAGCAAAACGTTCTGTAAGCCTGCATTCCAACCAAGCTGGACCAATAATATTTTTTAAAGTGACAGAAAACCTAAAGTTGGGTTTTAAGTCTCTGTTACTCTGCTAAGCTTTAAAACGCAGTAATAGTTACACTTTGTAAGATGGGAATGAGACATGAGGGAGCAATGAAATATGTAATAACAATAAAGGGGCGAGCGAGCGACCAGATATGCTTATTGCACCACATCCCTTAGAATTAAGGATATTCAATAGAAAGGATGGGACTTCCAGGGAGCATGAACATGAATACCAAACATATAAAAAGATATATAATTTTATTTCATATTTTTAAAACAAAGAAAGAAATACAGAAACATAAAAAAAACAATTTCAAGTGTGGAACCGAAATTCGAACTTGATTATATAATTGTAGTTACTCCCTACATGTTTCGCCCTCATGGGCTTTTTCAGGGGAGATTTTTGAAGAGACTGCCGACGCAGTCTAAAAGTATATAAAAAATTATACAATTACCAAACAACTTTAATGTATCCAATGCAAACAGTGTATCAATCAAATATATATTTATATATATGGGACTCAATGGCTCACTGGATGTGAATTCTCGCAGACCTAAAAGGAAATAACCTATCAAAGACCTTAATTGGCCTACACGTCCAAAACAGTTGTGGAGGATATAATGAGCATCAAATATCCATCTAGGCATAATAGAATACACATAAAAAACAAAAAAATAATTTAATTTTACGGAGGATATGAGGTTTCAGAAAAGGACTTGTGTTCTTTTCTGACACTAGTGGCGAAATTTGAAATTGATCTTCAATTAAAATCTTTTTTTTTCCCCAAACTGTCCTTGCTACTTGAATTACAATATATAAGAAGTAAAACTGCTGAAGTTAACCTTAAGCCTTTAATAATTTATGACCTCTTCCTTATACCCCTTTTTGAAATTAAATTAATTCTTGATTTCCTTATGTTTATTTTGTTACGCCTAGATGGATATTTGATGCCCACTATACTCTCCAATTGTTTTGGAGGTTATAGGCCAATTAGACCTTTAGACAGAATATACCCATATATTCATATGCAACTTTTAACAGGTAAAATTGCTTAAGTTAATTCTAATCATTTAACAACTTTTGACCTCCTCCTTATATCCTTTTTGAAATTAAATAAATTTTTGATCCCTCTATGTCTATCCTATTATGTTTAGATGGATGCTTGATGTCCATTATTTCCTCTATTATGGTTTTGGATGGGACCTATAGGTCAATTAGATCCTTGTTAGGTTAAACCCACATATCCTTCTACAACATTGAACAGGTAAAACTCTTTAAGTTAAACTCAACCACTTAATGAATTATGACCTCCACCTCATAGCCTCCGTAAAATTGAATTAATTTTTTGTTTTTTATGTTTAGTCTATTATGCCTATATGGATATTTGATGCACATTATATCCTCTACAAATGTTTTCGACATGTAGGCCAATTAAGGCTTTGATAGGTTATTTCCTTTTAGCTCTGTGAGCCTTCACATCCAGGGCGAGCCATTGAGTCCCATATATTAAGTCACAACAATAGAAGAACACAGTCTGCTGAACATAATACTACACAAACATTAGATGTTGCCATGGTTTAATTGCACATAACATGTAAACATTCACAGTGCAGGGAGGAAAAAAAATGTGAACCTTTGGACTTAATAACTGGTTGACCCTCCTTTGGTAGCAATAACCTCAACCAAACGTTTCCTGTAGTTGCAGATCAGACCTGCACAACGATCTGGAGTAATTTTGGACCACTCCTCTTCACAAAACTGTTTCAGTGTAGCAATATTCTTGGGATGTCTGGTGTGAATTGCTCTCTTAAGGTCATGCCACAGCATTTCAATCTGGTTGAGGTCAGGACTCTGGCTGGGCCACTCCAGAAGGCATATTCTGTGCTGTTGCAGCCATTGTTTTGTTGAATTACTTGTATGCTTTGGGTCATTGTCCTGTTGCATCACCCATCCTCTGCGGAGCTTCAGTTGGCGGACAGATGGTCCTACGTTTTCCTGCAAAATGTCTTGATAAACTCTGGAATTTATTTTCCCATCAATGACAGCAATCTGCCCAGGCCCTGAGGCAGCAAAGCAGACCCAAACCATGATGCTCCCTCCGCCATGTTTTTCAGTGGGGATGAGGTTTTGATGTTGGTGTGCTGTGCCTTTTTTTCTCCACACGTAGTGTTGTGTGTTCTTCCCAAACAACTCAATCTTGGTTTCATCTGTCCACAGTATATTTTGCCAGTAGTGCTGTGGAACATCCAGGTGCTTGTTTTGCAAACTTCAAACGTGTTTCTGCAATATTCCTTTTGGACAGCAATGGCTTACTCCGTGGTGTCCTCCCCATTTGTACTCCATTCTTGTGTTTAATGTACCACAACTTTCCTTATTGTAGATGTGTCAACAAAAATGTTATTTTGAATGTGCCAGAGATTTGTGTAGGTCTTTAGCTGACACTCTGGGATTCTTCTTTACCTCATGCAGCATTCTGCACTGTGGTCTTGCAGT